TAATTATTTGATGTTTGACGTAGTGATCAAAAACAAATCTGGGCAGTCATACGATCAAACCCTACCCATCTGGGCGATAGTCTATGGATCAAAGGGTTATCACAACAGCATCCCGAAGAGTGTTTGGACGAGTTGGATCAGCTTTGTTAGTGGCGGTGCGCACATAAATTCTAAACTTACTCTCGAATTTGAACCGTCTGTTGCTTCTTCAGCGGTAACGAAAAAGTATGTTGATGACAAGACAGAGGTTGTTTTCCTTTGTGAAGAGTATGGCTCATCAAAACAACAAGAATGTAAGATTTGGGTCAACGTTAAGTGATATTGTATGTTATCCACCTGCCTCTGGAGGGGGTTATAACACAAACTATTTCTCAATTCACAACAATGGAAGAGTGTTAAAAATCGTGAAGAAAGGAATATATAAGATTGTATACAGCGATCTCATTCTGAATGGTCGCACCTTAACAATAGAAAAAAGTGAAGACGGGGGTACCACTTGGACAGAACTGGATCGATCTTTCTTGAAAGGTGGCTCATTTACCCAGGTTATTGCACATCGCATCTTTGAAATAGCAGCTGATAACACAAGGATTCGAATGCAACTATTAGACTCATATTTCTCTGGAAAGGCGTATGCCTGTTTCGAGATTCAAAAGCTTGTCTGATGCTGCGAGGGGCATGCTGCCCCCTTTGAGAGTTAATTATTTTTTATTACTTTTTTTTTATTATGATGTGTTCATAATAAAATGACTGAAGTATCTATTTTCAACTTTAACCACATCGACTACTCTATCGGAGATGAGAAGATCGATGAACTCAAAGCTCTTTACAAACACTATCACAAGAAGTGGTGGTGTTCGAGAAAGATCTTCAAGAACTTCAAACGAAAGAGTCTTCTCTGTAAACTGGGAAGTACCATGCTCATCGTTATCGGAGGGATAGCAAGTGGGATAACCATGAATCCAATCCCACTTGCTACAATATCAGGTACTGGTCTCCTTCTCAAGACGTTCACCGATGTGAAGAAGTTTGACAGAAAGATTGATATGAGTAAATTTGCCTTTACAACATATGAGAAGATCTTGACTGAACTGCGGTCTTATCTGAGAGGAAGACCGTTTGACAGTGCGTCGTTCCTCAATGAAGTGAGGCTTATCGATGAGACAATCATTGATCTGTGTCCAATCCTTCAATCGACCAAAGTACTCAAGCAATATGAAACACGCTTTGAACCTCAGTGAAGCGAACGAGCAGTAGTAGAACTACTGTAAAGATTTTATTTAAATATATATTTTTTTTTTATTTCTTTAAATCATTTTTTTTTATGATAATTTTTATTTAACAAAAATTCAAAAAAAATTTAAATAAAATTCAAAAAATATTTAAATAAATTTTTTTTTATGGGAATTAAACGGAAATTATCAGAAATTTATCAGGAATCCGCCAAAATCGGTGTATCCATAACTACTCAATTCGTTCACTAAACGTACATCAGACTAGTCCTGACCAAGGATCAATACCTTTTTCACTGGTGATAATGGAATTGTGTCAATGTAATCAAAGGATTCCCTGCAAGCTGCCTCCATCCTTTTTCCTAGCTTTATACTTGACCAACGCAAAGGAAATACTAGCTTCCTTCTATTGACCGAGCTCAATTTGATCTAACGTGCAACAAATAGTAATAATTATAATGTAAAGGAAAACGATGTTGATCTTCGTGATGTTGATGATTGGGATGCGAATGATAATGATCATCATCATGACAACGATGGGGTCGAAAAGAAAAAAAAGGGGGTTAAAGGATCATTTTTCTTTGCAAATCTCCCCATATCAAAGAGAAAAATAACTGAAACTGGTTCAACCTACCGCTGACGCCTATAGCTTTCTCGTTATAGTAACGCGTCTCAGCGTTACTATAGCGAGAAAAAAAGATGTACAAGACTGAAGTCCTGCTTAGGCCTAGCGCCTAATGCACATCCCTCAGGTGGTTTCTTATTTTCCGTTCTCAGGTAGTTCCCTCCTTCTTCAATGTTTGATGCAATGGTGTTCTTGCTCACTTGAGATCCAGCTCTCTGTGACACAAGAAAAGGAACACACGTACTCAAGCAAACGATACTTGAAAATATCTTTCTAAAAAAATTCAGCGCAACAGTTTCAATTCTCTTGTCCCGATCTAGTCGATTTTTAGTCTCCATTTGAACTTTAGTAAACAAAAAATGATGCTTTGTGCGTCAAAACGGCAAAGGTTCTCATGTCAATCCAATTATTTTCATTCGTGAAAGCAGTTATCCCGTATTAAGAAGACTTAGTTTACTTCGCTTTTCAGTCTTTTTTCGCGATAACAGAAGCAGTTGTAAATAGACTTCTGAAACCACTTTACAAAAAGATGTCAAGGGGCTAGAGATCGAAAACGTCTTTCCCAATTATCGAGAACAACCCATTTAGCTCTGACAGCCACCGTTAAAGCCTGGTTTCCATATAATCGTCCCTATCGCAACAGTCGTCTCTGTCGCTTGAAATACTTGGAAGCGACAGGGACGATCATATGGAAACGCTCTTGCGATCACCCGGGACGATCATTGCGACAGAAACGATCAGTCGTCCGAGATAGACTCGAGTTCTTTCCTTGCGACTGAGATGTCCGGAAATGACTTAGAAGCGATCGCATATTTTTTATGGAAACCGGTGAAAACGACCCTTGCGACAGAAGGGATGCGACATATCCCATGATGCACCTGATTGATTACAGCAAGTAATTGAAAATGGTTAAAAGCTCAAGCTTACTTGTAGTAACACTCGCGATCATCGTCTTTCATCTCTTGAAGGAATGTATGGAAAATTCCAAGACGTTGTCTCCTCTGGAATATAGGCTGAACCCAAAACCGATGCTTTCTTCGATGTTCTCTCTCTCTTCTTCTTCGCAAAACATTTCGGAGAAGCAAAAAATACGCCAAAAATCTTCTTCTTCGATCGACTGCCGCCATTTTTATTTTGGTTTTGGCGGTAAAAAGTGACTAGTCCCAGTCTTTCCACTATTTGATCTGATACATACGATTTGATGGAAACCAGTTATCGCAAGGATCACGTCAGTCGCGTCTGTCGCTTCTGTCGCCCCGGGAAGCGACAGAGACGACTGTTGCGACAGGGACGATTACATGGAAACCGGGCATAAATGAGAACCTACCTCAGTAACAGTTGCTACAGTTCCATCTGTTACCACCTGTTTCCGATCAGAGGACTTGGAATATGTTACTGATTGATCTTTTTTCTGTAAGACAAATTTGTGATCCTTCTTGCTGGGATTGAGGAAATGTCACAAAGCTTCTTCGTGAATCACTCTGTGAGCTTTGTTCCAAGAAAAAATTAAGCCCTTGCTTCCATTCATGAATTCTTCGTTGAACTGGGATGACACCTTTCTTCGAGCCCAGCGTGAGAGGAGTGATCTGTCTTCTTCATCGGCATCCCTGTAATTATCGTCTGCACCAATAACCACAATTACTCGTTCACCTATCAGTTATGATAAGAAAGAAACTACTTCTTTATGTAGAATTCATGTCATGTCATCCTAAGGTTGAACGTCGCGGGGAAAAGGACGAATAAAAACTGAAACGATCCAAAGTAGAAAATTCAATGTCACGTGCAAATAAAAAGGCGAGTGTAGTTACTCCCGATGGACAGAGTGCTAGTTCATTACAAGTTACTTCTCGGCATTTCGTCACGCTAGTACCCACGTATACCCCTGAGTGGAGAGAGGGGCTCTTTGAGAGTGGAGAAGCCGTCCTCAAACACAAATCAATGCACTGGCCAGGTCACGAGCACGGATCTCTCGACTTGGAATCAACGCGCTAACTGTTTGTTTAGCGCGTCACCTACCCCTGAGTTTCTGTACTAGTGGTAGACAAATATCAAGACAGGTCGAGTCTTTCGACACAATACCTCCCACAATTTTTTAACAATTATTTAACTTCGCTTTTCGATGTATTACCAGTGGAAAGGTTCGAATTCGAATGCAGCGACATCGATCCATTGTTAATCATAAATGTTCGAAACAAATATCAAAATTCATATGGTTATTAAAGAGGGATTCGAATTTTGAAAATAAAGTCTTCTAGTTTCCTTAGAAAATGAAAAGCAAAGTGTCAAAGACCTTCCTATTGCAATCGTGTTGTCACGTAACAATCTATTCAGCGCAAGGTTTTTTAATGAGTTTAGCATTATATTCAGTTAACAGCAATCACGGCTCTTTCCCGTGTCGTAATTCCCTTATTACAGCCTTTATGTTCTTCCTTACGTTCCCTTCCGTTAAACCTCATGCCCACTTAATTTTATTTTCATGATTATTTGTATCTTACAAAAACTTTAAAGCCTTAAACACATCCTCTTCATTACTGGCCTGTTACCTCTAATAGAACCCTGTAGAACTTTCCGTAACCTATTCCAGCGTTCTGTTCATTCATGGGAAGCCGTGATTCGTTAGCGTTGACGGCAAAAATAGCAAAATCCATGGCTGGTCCGGACGTTAAAGTATCGCACAACTTGGACATTTCAGGAAGACGAAAGTACTTCTGTTCCGAGTGTATGTCTAGGCCCGTGGATCTCTCATTGACCGCGCCTAGCAAGTTACTAACGACATCCAGATTATACGTTCTGTCACAATGAAAAAGATGAAAACATATAGGAATGCCTTTCTTAGTAACTGATTCCGGTCTTTCCACAGACATACTTGAGTTAGTGTTTCACATTCCCTAAATTTCGTGGAATTTAGTGCGCAGGACTATTTGGTTTCCAAATTTCTGCGAATGATTTGCATTTTATCGTCACGTGAAAACCTGCTGTCACGTTAATCACGAATTTTGTTACTGTTGGTTTCAATACAAGATAGCAAATATTTTTAGCAACGCTGGCTTAAAATTCAAGTAAAGGAAATCAACTCCTACTCTTTATAAACATTTCACTGTCTTCTGATGAGCAAGTGCTTGAAGGAATGTGAGTACAATATTAAGCTTTCTCGGAAAACAGTTGGTGACGTCACATGATTATGTTTCGCATCCTAGCCTTCGTGCCAAGCGAAGGAATACCGAACGTGCAGTGATCTTTAATTTGTCGCTCCCAAAGCTAAAGAAACCCATAGTTAAAGTGTTTAGTGTCTTTAAATAAGTTATGGCTGGACAAGAAGACGAGATTTTGTCGCTTTGTAGCGGGATACGCGAGTACAAGATCGGTAAGTTCGAGGAGTACCATGATGCTATGGAAGGCGAAATGGAGGGTTGCCTTGTCAACATTGTGCTCTTTGGCATGACTGGCTCCGGAAAATCAGCTTTGATTAACACAATTTTCCAGTCATTGGGATATAATGATTCGAAACAAGCTGTAACTCAATGTACTGGAAGGGAAGGAACGAAGATTTTGGAGAGGTTTGTTCTTCCGGGAAACCAAATTGCGCTTTACGACACGCGAGGATTTTTCGCGATGGATATCAAAGAAGAGGGTAGGCCGTTTTTATTCATGAATTTCAGTGTATTCGATGACGAAAAGGATTTGAATAGTTACAAATCCCTGTGTCTTAGCTTTCAGGTTATATGCGATGTTTTTTTCGAGTGCAAGTTCATAATTGCAAATAAAAAAAAAAAACAAAACAAAAAAAACTGGGAATGCGTGACAGATATGCGCGAGAAAGTAGCGAAGGAGGAAGGAGAATGGATGGCTTTAGGGGATATTGTAACTATGAGTGAGAACGTTCGTCAGTTGGTCTCACTTAGGTGTGGAACAACTGAATTAAAGTTAAATGCTTCAATATTACGATGAGACATCCTATCCCTGTTATTCTAAAAGTTTATCATCCAGTCCAGGGGTCGGGGAGGAGAGAGGGGGAGTGACGAGGTCTGCGACAGAGAAATGATGATCTCACAACTTGTAAAGCGTTCAGTTCATACCTTTTCAGAGGGCTCCCTAGCCAAGCCGGTTAAATAGTCTTCTAAATAACTCTTGAAGTTGTAAATAGTATAATTAAGAAAGATGGCAATTTTTTTGAGCTCGGTTAATAAACAGAGAAAGATGTTTTTCGACTTGTCACAAGCGGTGGACAGGGAAATTCTGAGTCCCCATAAGGAATCGAACCTAATACCTTCGGATTCCGCGCTCCCATGCTCCACCAATGATCGAGCCACAGAAACTCCATACTGAGCCCATTACGTAGTTCAAGTATGATAAGCGTCCTGCAGACTCCTAGAATCGGCAATGTCGATAACGTCATGTTTTTGTAAACAGGATAAGAAAGATAGTTAATTTTTTAGCTCGGTTAAGAAAAAGATGTTTTTCGTCTTGTCACTACTGTGGGACAAAGAAAAAATTGTGAGAACATCGTTCCAATTTCATTTAGATAATGTATGAATTCCAGTACCATCAGTTGCTTTCTTGAAAAGTATATGAAAGAAAGGGTCGGTCACGTGACAAATTAAGAATTGTATCTATTCATCGAAAATCAAGTATATGCCAAGGCTGCAAATCTTAAAAATTATGGACAATGTACCTGTTTACATATTTATTGAAGCATTTGATACAAATACAGGCGAACTGTTTCGCATCCTGTTTGGAATTCAGCGGCCTGGGGATGATTTGACACGAGGCGAGGAAAGCGCTCAAAAGGCAAAAGCCGCTGGCCAGGGTGCCCACAGACTCAAGAGACGTCCGCTAGCCGACCAAATGCACGTTGTACTTTGGGTAATAAAAGCTACCGACATCAGATTTGAAAAGGGTCAATACAGCGAAATCATCGAGTATGTTAAAGAACAACTGCAGGAGGCAAGTAAGTAGGACTTTTCCAGAGTGGTCTTTTACAACTTCTTATCGTCCGCCACACCATTCAAATTAAAGTGTAACGCTCAAAAGAGTCATTCAACAGTAACAGAATGATAAGTCTCTAGAGGAAATTGAGTATTTAATCGGTGTGTAAATTTCCACCGTATTCAAAATTTCATACCATACCTTGCTTCGAAAAGCCTACTGTTACACAAATTATGACCAAACATCTTCTGCTGGCTGTCGACTAATTCATATTACTGACTGGCAGACTGAAAGCTAACGGTCCTTATGTCTGAATGTTAGACTGCTTAACTACTTGACAGCTCACCTGTCTGCCTGCCTGACTGGCTGACGGACTCAATTCGTTAATGACTTTCTGGCTGGCCGGTTCGAAGAAATTTCAATATTTACCTAGCAATTATACTGGGCTAGGTAACCACTTTTATCATTAATGATCTTGGAAGATGAGCTCCGTTTGAAAAATATTCTCTTTCTGTTGTAGTAATTACCGTCCTTGCCGTCATAACGTTCGATGACGAAGTCCACAGGATGCCAAACGCCGATGAAAAAAGGGAGAATTTGAAACAGGCCGCCACTAAAGTCACCGGTAGCGTCCTAAAAAACGTGTTTACGATCGCTAACCCGTTACGGGGAGAAGATATTGATCCAGCGTACAAGAAATGTGTCTTGAAGTTGATGGAAAAAGCATTAAAGTGCGGAGAGCGCTCTATCAAGATGCGGCAAAATAAGAGAGAGAGTCCTAAAAAAGAAAACCGACTTTCAGACTCTGCAGCAAGTAACCTCAAGTATCCAACCCCAGTGGAGCACGAAGATGAACCTCCAATTGATCATAAATGTAAAAGCTTGCCGTAAGTTATTCATTATTATTAAAAACTAGATCATAGGATAATGCAATTCAAGACTTTCTATTGGCTTAGCCATTATGGTATATCAGCCAATATACCATAAACTACAAATATGGTAAGCGTACGTGTCAGCTTAAAATTAAAAGGGAGCTAAAAATTTAATAAAATTTAATAATTTAATTCAACGTTTTTAATAAAACAATTATTCCACTCGCGCTTGTTGGACATGAGATGATTATAGCCAACGAGGCGCGTAGCGCCTCGTTGGCTATCTATCATCTCATATCCAACGCGTGCTCGTGGAATAATTGGCAGGAGATCTTTATCAACTACTTTAAGAGATTTTTTGTAAATTTAATTTAGAGAGAATTCAAATCCCGAACTAAGCTGAGGGAACTATCAGGTTTACTTCTTACTTTCTTTAGTACCTTTTCTTTAGTGTGAAAGGCATTTGTGTTTTTAAATGGAAATTGGCTCGAATTTGATAACCTAACCTTAAATTTGAATACCTAGGGTTAAGGGAACATGTTCGTGGATGATAATACTGGATAACCAAATGATCCTCTCAATTGTTGAGAAAACTTTCAAATACTGTGTGACACAGTTGAGTGTTAGGTAAACGAACCGCAATTAAAAACGAGCTTTCGGCCTCATTACATAGGTGTATTTGATTTTTTAAATAAGAAGTGACTCTGCGTTCTAATCTGTTTCTATTTGATTATGACATGTTTGGTTGTGGCGGAAAAAACCGGCTCGTAGGTACATTTCCCGCGATTTTATCTCTTTCAACTTCATCCTCTGCAGAGAAGGGCCAGGGAAACTGTACGCACGTCGCCACTTTTCACACTTTTATTGCAATTTTTTTTATCACATGCCAGATGATTAACCCTACTGACTTGAGGAAGGTTACGACGCACACCAGAAACCTCCGGGATGGGGTTCAGGGACAAGTTGACGCAAAGATGACAGTGGACACTGCGGCACATATTCCAAATGTTATACATTTTTTTTGTTTATGTATTTGGACTTACCACTCTAGCTATATGAAATTATCATTAATTTTTTTAGAATTTTATATTCTCTAGTCTCTATTTATTTGCGATATATCATCCGCCGGCGGTACCATGATGCAAGGAGCAGACTATCATTACTCAAAAACGTTACGATAAGTGAATTAAGGTTTACAAGTTTGCCTCAAGAATTCGAGCAACTGTTAGTTCAATTGTAGAGTCAAGCTATCGATTGAAGATCGCAACACTTCATATTGTTTACAGCGAGCGGTGGTCCTCAATTAAGAGCTTAACTCTGAAGTTGATAGTAGCCCGAATTCGTAATAGAAAAGATAAGGGCAGGAGTCCTGAGTTACAAATCGTCCAATCTAAACATGAACATCTAGGATACTAAAAAGTCTCTAATTAACAAGCGTGACATAGTTGTAGATCACATCGTTTTCTTTTTTTCATCTTCTCTACATATTAACAAACTAATAGACAACTTAGGAGGTCTTTATTCCTCAGAGTTAAGCCTCAGTCAAACGCTATTCTGAAAGTTACCTTTTCGTCATAAAAGCTTTTTGGGCAAGTTTCAAGCGTGCACTGCATATTTTGTGCATTTTAATAAAATAGTGTTAATCAAGAGTCAGAGCATCAATCGTATCACTCGGAGGCGGAGGGGTGTGTCTCCTTTCTCCGAGAAATGGTAAACAAACGGACAAACGAATTCGCTTATACCAGGAATCAAGATTGTTCGTGATAACCCGATACGTTGTGGTTCCATCTTCTTCATGCGCATAAATTGCCAATTCTACGTCGTCAGCAGACTGACCTTCCTTCGACAAGCGGTTCTCTATCTCTATAGGAGGGGTCCAATCTCCCTTCCTATATTTTACATCTCCTTGTTCGTATGAAATCGCACCATTCTGAAGTCGGGTCTTTAATACCAGTGTATCCAGTGGTGGTGTGCTAAGATCTGTGGACCACAGGACCCATACTTTATCTTTGAGAATGTCAGCTGACTTAGCTGTGATGATTTCTTCGTCAATCGGACGGTTATTTTTGCAAATGATAAGGACGATTTTTTTGTCTAAAAATAAAAAAGTATGTAAGTTGAGAATAGTCGACACCTTTAAAAACAATTGCAAGGCAGAGAAAAAAAAAACAAAGTTAGGTATCATTGAGGTGCCAAATTCCTTCCTTGCATCGCTTATTTTTTCGGAAAACCATAACAAAATTAAAACAACAACGTATGCATCACCTAAAAAACATTTACCAAATTGAATGAAAGCTTTACGGCCATGTTTACACTAGAGTCTTGTCGCCTTTTAAAAACGACAACAAGGGAATTTTTATTTTAAGGATGATTTTTTTTTTTGCATATTTTTCTCCGAAATTCATTTAGACTGGCGTCTGTACTAAGTATTGCTATGGAAAATATGCAACTGCGACACTCGCAGTAGACCATGGCAACTAGGTAAGCACGTCGTTGAACGGCCACTTAGAGAGACTATCCATGTAATTGCAGAGTCCTACTTGTCCCCTGACCTAAAGGATTCTCTTACCAACTTTATTTCTGGCGTATAGCAGCAGGTCCTCGTATTGCGAAGCTAACTCTTCGACGTCTTTTCCATCTAAAACAATGAAACAAGATCCTACGGAATTGGCTGGAACAGGTTCTAGGAGTTCTCTCAGACTTTTCGGAGGTCCGCTGGAGAAACTTATCGCCTTTCCCAACAATTCATCACCGAACAGATTCTGAATAAAATGTAAATCAGACTGATTTCGGCCATGTACCCAATGTTTCGTCTTGTCCTTGTCAACTGCGTCCATAGATTGGTCGTGGATAGTTTCTGTGTTAAAAAATAAACACCCTCGTATCAAAGTTATGTAAAACTATGGACCAGGGAAAGCCTGAAAGACCTTTTTTAAGCCTGTGTTATAAGCTTAGACAAGTTATCCAGACTTTGGGTAAGGTTGGGATCGTACACCTGATTCGGTACTTTCCGAAATATATGATACAGGGGCTATTAGCCAATTAACCCGATACTTCGTCCATGATTCTAGGCGTGTGTTCAGAGATTGGCATTGGTCTTCCAGACACCATTACAATCAATAGAATGCGCTAATATAACACTGTAATAAACAGTGTAGACTAATAAATTTCTGTCTCTAACAATAATTTCTTTACAAGACTGATGCTCGGAATTTACAATCATTTACAAGAATAAGAGACAAATTCTTTTCAACTACCTCGTCCAAAAGTTTTGCCAAGAAAAAAAAAAGAGCAAATCCCAGCCTTGGTAGAACCAAAAATTAATCGCTGTGCTCTGCAAAAATACATATAACCAGCTCAGTCTCGATTAAAGGGTTCAGTATGTAAGAATACAGGTATCGATAAGATAGGAATACCAATACAGAAACAATTTCTAGGATTTAATAACTTACCTTTCTCTTCCTCGGATTTTGCACCACGATCATCGCACTTATCCTTTTCGGTTATAGGACCGGAAGTATTGACATCCTTTTGCCCTTGACAGATTCCAGCTGCATGCTTTTCAAGTGCTCCTTTCTTTGGGATTTTTGCTTCTTGTACTTCCGTTTTCTGGGAAATACGAACAGAAAAAAAGTTGATATAAGATTAGTTGTTACTAAGAGAGAATAACTTTCATTTATTCTCAAGTTACTAATTTTACTGCAGGTTGACTAGGAGTATTCTCTTCCGCTCTTTGATAACTGAGAAAATTTACTCGTTGAAGGGTAATGGTTCAATTTCTGAACGTTGATGCATAGACATATGAAAAGGTATGCAACGGAGATTTAAGGTGTGAACACTACAAGTCAACCGAGAAATGGTTAGCAAGAAACTTCATCTTAAAATTCTACTGTAATTACAGCAAAAGCATAATACAAATCTTTGAATTTTCTAAGAAATGCAGAGGTGCTGGACGAGATGATTGCTAGTAAGGTGTTTAAAACTCATTAAGGATTGATGTGATTAGTGGATATTTATAGCACCTTTTTTTATTGAGAAGACACACCTGCTTTTGATCAACTGAGGGGCTCAAGGACTCTGCCTGAGTTTTTTTCTCATAAACAAATTTTTCACCCTTCTTGTTGGAATCAAGGAAATGTAATAGCGCCTCCTCGTGAATCACCCTGTGTTTCTTGTCCCAGGAAAAAATAAACCCTTTCGTTCCATCCATGAATTCCTCTTCGAACTGAGAAGAAACTTTTCTTCGAGCCCAGCGCGACAGGATAGATCCGTCTTCCTCGGTGGCATTTTTGTAGTTGTCATCCCCACCAATAATGACAATCACTCTTTCACCTGAAATCATAAAAATACGATTAGCCAAGGTATGAGAATTTTCATCATACTTCTTAGGTCTCAACGATGAACAAACCGCCCATAATTTCTAGTGGTTTAGACCTATTTATAAATGGTGGGCTTTACTACTATTCTTTTTTATTCATGCAAAAGCAACAGAGTTTTCACTCAATTCACAGGCTTGTCAGCGGGCTCCCTAGGCCACCCGGCTTTACGTGCGAAATTGATCTTGCAAATAACTCCTAACATTGTTTTTCTCTAACGCTTTAAAGTTTCATCGTAGTAAAACTGTATAATATAAATACGCTCTTTTCTTTTGACTGATATTTTTTTTTTCGATTTAGCGAAGCCCGTTTGAGGATGTGAGGAACTTTTTCAAATTCCTCACATCCTTGAACGGTTTTTTTTTTTAAATAATAATAAAAATAAAACAGTTCAAAGCTCAAAGTTCCAAACTGATAAAAATCGTAGAAAACCTCCATGAAGGGGAGTGTTCGCGAGGAAGGTAATATTAACTTTTCATTGAAACCATTCATCATCTGCATAATGAACGTCGCCTGACCTCCTAACAAGTAAAAACATCCCAATCCTCTCGTCACAGGTGCAGTTTCAAAATGGTAGCTAAATTATACCTGCCTCTTACTAAATGAGTGAAAAAGGAAACCATGCTAACCTAAAAGTGGTGCCAAACTGCTCTAGAGCAATTGAAAATAGCACCCAGAGTATGTTTTGAGCAGATCTATTGTATTATATGCGTCTGCATGTAAATTTTGGAGCAACGCGATCAGCACAAATTAAGCTTTTATTAACCTTATAAGCGTAAATTATGATTTAACGATTTATCATCGTCGCCGCAAAAATGTTTTTATCTGTCGGCGAAGCGTTTAATAATCATTATTTCAAAACTAGTACTCTGTTTCTGCGAAAAGAACGACAAAGAAAATCCTGGAAAATTCTTCACATACTATTTTAGTTTTGCGAGTGTCAAAATCCAATGGCCTACTTAAATATCTCTGAAGAAATCAGCTCAGCCGACAGCCATAAACTTAACGGCGAGCGCTAATCCCGGACTAAAGTTCGTTACAAAACGGCCATGTATTTTCCTTGCAAACACGTACTGCTCGACCCTAATGGAGCTATCCAGTTATAATTCCCAGTGAGAATGCTTTTCTAGTTGTGAGAACATCGTTTCGATTTCAAATAAGAGAAGCGGTAGCTTTTCCCCCTCCCCACTGAGCTACTTCAAACAATGTAACTCTGATTCGTTTGCCTCGATGTCCACTTTTCAAACGAAACAAAGGACAGAAACAAAACTAACAATTACACAATAAAAGCAATAAAAAGTCAGCTACTACTCCGACTTCACCGGTGAGAAGTTTAATCTTGTTATTCGAGCTGTTACACACGGTTTCTTCGCTTCGTTGTAAACAAGATATCATTTGTACAGTGGATACGGATCTCACTCTTGCTTATTTGTCTCAAAGAACTTACTAAAGCCGCTCAGTTTTTCTTTTTTCGTGTCACTTGTGTAAGATGAAACTTGAAAAACATTCATTTCAGTTTTGTATGATTATTCCTAATGAAACACGAACACAATCTCAGCACTCACCCGTTGCCCTCAGTAAAGCTTTGTATAACTGTGCGTAACCAATCCCAGCGTTCTCCTCGTTAATCGACAGTCTAGATTCGTGTGCATTGACCACAAAAATGGCGCAATCCATTTTTGGTCCATCACTGCTCTGGCCGATAGTCTTAGTCAACTCAGACATGTTGCCGAGGCGAAAATATTCCTTCTTCGATCGTATCTCAATCTCCGTCGTTTTCCCGTTTACGGCCTCCAAAAATTTCTCAACAACATCCAAATCATACGTGTTATCGCAGTTGAGGAGAAAAAAGCATTTAGGACTGCCCATCTTTCTTTACGATTGAGTCTTTCGCGTAACTGCTTTTGAGGCAATATGTTCCAGTTTGGTCTTCCGTTGTTTCCTTGAAATGCCCAGGCTTGGTTACGGCGAAAAATTCGGGATACAATTTGCATAATGGTGAGCGAATGTCAGTCAGTCACGCAAGTCACGAATATTTTCATTCAAAGCACGTCGATTCATCTACAGGGTAATAACTTTCAACAGTTAGGACTGTAAATATAAAGTTTAAAACACTTCGTTTTTTTCAGTTTAATGAAGCCTCTTCGTTACATTTCAAGAGACAGCTGTTCAGACTGAAAGACTTTGAATGTAAATTGGGTTTTCTCGGAAATCTGCAGGTGAGGTAACAAGAAGTCGACCAAAGCTGCGTAATGATTATAAAGATGACAAGCGTCGTAGCTACGACATCGCCCTCTGAAACGAAACTATAACAATAGCTGGTTTGGTTAGGATCTGCTTATTTCTTGAACATAAGTCATGGAGGTGCTAGAAGATGATGTTGCATCGCTACATAGCCGAATACTTGAATGCAACATCGGCAAGTACAAGACGTTCCCTGAGGCTGGAGGGCGAAATAGAATAATGTTTATAAATATTGTTTTCTTTGGAATGTTTGGCTCTGGAAATCCGCTCTGATTAATTCTATTCACAAGGCTTTAGATCTAGAAGAAGAGCCAGATATAATTCAAACTACCGGTAAGGATGGAACGAAGGCTTTAGAGGGTTCAGTTAGGGGATTTTTTGTGAAGGACATTAAAGAAGAGGGTAGGTTCTGTTTAATTTTAACTGCCTGTTAAAATCCTCTGAATGGAAAATTTCACAACCCCGGGGGCTTATGAGTCCACTAAGAACTCTTGTCTTTTGATTCAATCCAGTCTAGTCGAATAAATGCGGATAAAATCAGCTAACTGTCCACAGGTTGAAGTGAAACCGGAAGTGGATAAGCTAACGAGGTTTTTTTTAGTGTGTACAGTGTATAGTCGCCGTTGCTTTATGACTCTCAAACATGTGCTTACAATTGCAATGAAATCTCATGCTAGATCATAATCAACTATTCACCGTAGTGGAGTTGGTTAGAGGCGGTACGCAACCGACACTGAGGTGAATGGTTGTTTTCGTATATACTAAAAAAAATAATAATAAAATAATGAGCACAAAAAGATGATTTCCACTCATTTATTCCTGCAACAATTCCCAATATGTTCAGGCGCAAATCCCCCGCCATCGAGTTGCTCGGAAGGGAAAAGCAAACTAAGGATATTCGGAGTTTGAGATGTGGAGTTCAACAGAACGTACCTTCAATGCTTTCCACTGTTTTACAAGTACAAACAAATAGAAATTACCATGTGGGGAAAACAAACTTTATTTTTTGCGAGTTGTAAATTACAAAGGCACTACCACTTATTCAGCCTATATTAGGAGGGTGTCAATGGGGCTAACCGTTCGCGGCCATAAATAGTTAAAACTGCCATAAAAAAAATAGTCGTAAGGCGTAAATATACATGCCACATTAACCTAGCCTGAGGTCAAGATAGCTGGATATTGGCCGAGTTATTTTCTGGCATTTGTGTGGACCGTGACGAAGTCGAGGTCCATGAATATACTAAAAAAGAACAGGGCTAATATCAAAAACATGAGTACTATATTTGGAACTTCGAAAAATTAACTAACTTAAGCACGTTCAGGCAACTATGATGTTGAGCGGGATCGATACAAAGATCTTTAAGAGTTGGCCGAGACACAGAGACAAATGTGCATATATCAGTATACCTCACTGTTTTCATAGCCATCGGATTCATTCTCTCTTTCACATCAGCATGTCAGTGCATAATTTTTTAGGTTATCCGTAAAGGATATATAAACTTGTAATCGTGACAGGTAGACTGAATAAAAATAATAATCAAGCATACTTGCTAAGATATTTTGATGTTTGACTGACAAAAAAAGAAGCTCCTGCGGTGCTCAGTTCTGTTAAAAAGCACTCAGGAAGTAGCTAGAGCATTCAACCAGAAAGAGAGAAACCTTCGACTATGTTTCGTGTTACCCCTACACTTCTTCCGTATTAATAAATCGAAGCGGCGAGATTCATACGGACTTTCCTCGAATTTTGTGCAGAGAAGACTGACAACTAGTTTTAAAAAGGTGAAAGCGACATTTTTTCAAGACTTCCATTGGTTGGTTTATTTGTTTCACACTATTTACATAATAAACTATCTACATATAAAAGTAAAGTTGCAACAAATGATTACAGAACAAAATAAATGAACGGTACAGATTACAAAAATGTGTGTGGTGGCCAAAGTAGCAAAGGCTTTCTAGTTGGCCACCACCTACTTTTAGATAAATAAAGAAATAGTACTGAGCTCAGATTAATGTGCAAGAAACAATTACCGGTATAAATTTAAGGTATGTTAGAGATATATTGAACCAGGCAAGAATCTATACAGGAAAAGCTTAATAAGACAAAAACAGACACACATACAGACAAACAAGCAACAACAACAACGATAACAGACACACTTACAGGCAAATAAACAACAACAACAACAATAACAGACACACATACAGACAAACAAACAACAGCAACAACAATAACAGACACACATTCAGACAAACAAACAACAGCAACAACAATGGACAAAAGCAGAGACAGAGACAAAGGAGACTGGAAAAGAACAACGCATCATCAGCAACAATAGCAGCAGCAGCAGCAACAAAGACCTACATATAAGCGGACTTAAGGAAATTTATGTTTACATCTCCTGTTATATAGACATGTTATTTCCTATTACTTAAGCTTTCAATTATATTTTTTAGTTCATGTGTAAAATCTGGTACATTAGCTGAAGGATGTCTATATATGCATCCTATAATGATATTTGGTTTGTTATTGGTAATAATTTCTATCCAGCAGGACTCAACTAGAGGCATGGTAAACTTTATATCTGCCCTGTGTATGGTTTTTAGATTGTTAGTAATGTAAAGAGCAGCACCCCTGGCAGCTGTTTCAGAGTCAGTATGAAAAAAATGGTACTGGGGTATATCAATGTTGATTACAGATCTGCTGTTGAGCTTTGTTTCTGAAATGGCCATTATGTCAGGTTTTTTTTCTAAAGAGTATAGCCAATCTTCTAAGATAGGCAGATTTTTTGATAGGCTTCTAATATTACAGTGGAATATACTAAGACTATTCCTAAAGCTGTAAGATGAATTGAGTAACTTATCTAATTTAGAAGTTTCACAATATTCTGAGCATGGAGAATTAAGCATAAGGTCAGAGTCCCTTTCATCGTGTTTGTCAGGATTAGGGAGCACATTCAGAAGATCAATGTTTTCAGCGAGTTTTTCAGACAGGCTGGGGCTGCAGGAGACAATTAAATTACAAAATTCATGGTCTGGTAAATTGAAGAATGGTAGTTGCGATAAACTATTCTTATGACAAGACATATTCGCGTATTCGATCCAGAAGTTCAAAATTTGAATTACCATTTGTTACAATTACAATTGTTATTACTTATCTGTCCAGTAAGTTGACCTTTAGTGGGTTTGCAAACTCTTCAAAGTCTTCCATGGTATTGAAATGGAATGTTTGCCACGTTACGATGCTTTATTTACCTCTCTACTATTGCGCCTGAGAATATTTCAGTGTCATCAATGCTACCAGTTCTGAAGGGTAAGCAAGTTTGACAATTCAGAACATCATATTGAGTAAACTTACTACATGTATCTGGCAATATAAATGCCTGCTTGCATGTTGGACTGCGAGTTCATTTTCACAATGTTTTCATTTTGCAAGACCTGGTCATCAACTGTTTCAAACACTAAGCTGGTTTTGTTCAACTGCATTTATTGCATACATGAAAATACTTCTCTCTAAAATTTAGCTCTGATCGAACGGTAGCAAGACCTGAGGAGCCTGTATACAAACATCCCCACTGCGCATATGCATGTTTTCATGCAATAAGAGATACTCCACGTATAATACTTAAAGCTTTGCCAACAATTCATTTGAAAGACGCAGCTGACCCCACCATCGCCATCAGCAGTGAACTGCACTAGAGCATCAGGGACCAGGTTCCATTTTTCTTCCAGGTCCTGCATGATCATGTCAGATGGCTGCCACCCTTGCTGCCGTTCCACAACATCGTTCTCTTTAAAAGAGATTTTTCCATATCTCAGGCGCGTCTTAAGCAACACTATTCCTTTCAGGTAGTTCACTGGAGCAGGTGTTGTGTCAGTGTCTAAGGAGATTGCCAGATATAAAAATAACAAATATAAATATAAGTACAGTTAACGCCGCCTGTTAATGGTGGTTCGATCGTAATCAAACTGTACTTTTAAGATTAGCCAGCAGCTAATCTGAGTCCAAACAGGCAACTTTTTATTATCCATGTCACTGTGATTGAGCTGTCCAATTTGTTTATACTTTGGTTTTCAACGAACATTAATAGTATGCTGGGAAAGGTAGAAGTAAAAGGAATTACTCGAAAACTAAAACAAGGCAATCAGTGTGTTTTATTATGTTGAAATTTGTTATGCACGCTGACTGCTCCGAAATGCCCTTTTTCTCGCAGAAAGATGTTAATAATTCTATTTTTCAGGTGGTGTAAATAGAGTTTATTGCATGGCCGCGCGGGGATACGAATTTTATCTTCGAATTCTGAAAGTATCTCTCACTCGTTCGCTGCGCTCACTCGTAAGAGACACTTTCAGCACGAGAAGATAAAATTCGTATCCCCAAGCGGCCATGTAATGTTCTGTTTATGCGGTGAAGATACGATTTTTTAGTAAAAAGAGAAATCCTGGTATTTCATCAGTACCTATATAATAATTGGTTATTAAAAGCCGCTAATCAATAATAGCAGGTCTTGAATATTGCTACAATTTAGCTTGTTCAAGAAGAGTCAGGTTATAACTGTAGTTTGTAAAATATAAAATGATTAGTTACCTCCATATTCTTTTGACCCCTCATTCGTGTTTGAGTTTTCATTTTCAAGACTCAGCTCGTCATTATCCACAAGCACATCAGAGGCGCCATCTTTTAGAACCTGTTCAGGGAAATGATGTCGCATTGTCTCGTACGGAGATATTCTCCCTATTTCTTGGAAGCGATGATAACTAGTGAGCATAAGGAATGAAGGGGAAGAGGAGCATGCTTAACCTACCTTTATTCTTGTTTTTCTCGTTGCCATGTTCCCACCAATAACGTAGCTCCATTTTCTGCCTTTAAAAGCACACACAACCCACAATTCCCCTATTCGCCCCGACGAAGGGCTAACACTCGAAACGTCAGCCTTTGTAATTGTTACGGTGGCCAATTTACCATTTCAACTTTATTAATATATCCAAATTATTTTATTACCTTATCATCCTTTCCTAGGGTGGCGGCTACTGGCGGCGTGACCTGGGGTTCTGGAGTAAGCTTTGGTTTTGGTTGATATTGAAACTGCTGTCCTTTCTTGTTTGAATCAAAGAAGTGTAGAAGAGCCTCCTCGTGGATCGCTCGGTGCTTTAGATTCCATGACATAATAAAACTTTTCCTTCCATCAAGGTACTCGTCATCAAACTGCGAGGACACTTTTCTTCGTACCCAACGTGAGATAACAGACTGTTCCTCTTCGGTTTCATCTTTGTAATACGTGTCTCCAGCGATGACTATCAACACTTTGTCTCCTGAATAATCAAACAAACCACTCTAGCTAAAGAATGATAAAAATAGCAACAATGGTAATGTGATAAATATATTATGTCTTTACATGATATTTAAAATGACGATGACAATGGCAGGGCTAACGGCAAAGGTAATGGCGGTCTGAAAGTGACAGTTGCAAGGACAGTAACACTGAAAGGGACAGTGACAATAACAGTGTCAGTGACAGTGATAGTGACAGTAACAGCGACAGCGATAGCGACAGTAACGGTGACAGTGACTGACAGCGACAGTAACAGGGAGGGTGATAGCGTCAGTGGCAGTGGCAGTGACAGTGACAGTAACAAGGACGGTGACAGGGAGAGGGAGAGTGAGAGTGTCAGTGATAGTGACAGTGATGTGGACAGCGACAGTGACAGCGACATTGACAGTGCGACGAAATTAACAGTGACAGCGACAGTGATAGTGACAGGGACAGGGATAGTGACAGCGACAGGGACAGGGACAGGGACAGTGACAGCGACAAAGATAATGACAGTGACAGGGATGGTAACAGCAACAGGGACAGTGACAGCGACAGCCACAGCGACAGTAACAGCGACAGGGACAGGGACAGAGACAGGTACAGAGATAGGGGTAGGGACAGTGACAGGGACAGCGATAGTAACAGTTACTGTTAGCCAGTGACTGACGATAACAGTGACAGTGGCAGAAACAGTGACAGGGGAAGTAATAAAGAAAGAAACAGTGTAAGTGACAGTGACAAAACAATGACAGTGACGGTGAAAATAGAAGTCAGAGTAACAGTAGATAATAGTGACTTTGACGGTGACAATGATAGTGACAGTGACAGGAAAAAACATAATGATGTAAATGTCCTGACTTTTACAGCTTTAATTTTCAAAATACTTTCTGCTGCTAAAATGGTTAAGGGCTCCCTTTCTTTGATTTTGCACTTGAAATTCAAAATTACCGTGCCACAGCAACAGATCGGATCTGATGTGTGATTCTTACTTTTGTTGAGACTTGAAATGTTTCATTTGCTCAAAGCAGTTCACCAGAATAACCGTTGAATATTAAGACGAGATTAAAACTCATACTTAACGTATACCAAACATCGCTTGATCTGCTGGTCTGAGCTGGGCGACTTTGTTTGAGCCCACCATTATCGAAAGTGAAAGTAGTTGTACGATGTTGAAATAATAGAGTAAACCCGACTGTTAAGAGATGTCATCGGTGCTTTATAACGAAGTGCTTGGTAAGACTCAACTTACTCTCTTATGCATATTCTGCAACACTGGAACGGGTTTATTTAGGAAAATACGACTTTTTAAACGCTTCCGCCCTCAGAATACTCACCCGTGGCTTTCAATAATGCTTTATAGAGTTTGGCGTAACCAATTCCAGCGTTTTCTTCGTTGATCGAGAGCCGAGATTCGTCTGCATGGACCACGAAAACGGCAAAATCCATCTCTAACAGAGGAATCTTTGTGTCGCAAATTTCAGACATGCTTTTCAATCCAAAATATAACTTTTCAACATCGACCTTCATGTTGTGCTTCTCTTCCATTTCAAACAGAAGTGCTTCTACTTGTTCTAGTTTACATGTTCCGTCACAGTTGAACAAGTAGCCCTTCATTGATTCTCTCTCCATTTTCTCCAGTAGCTTTTAAAAATTCACAAGCGCTTTGGGAGGGAGTTTTGTGTTTTGGAAATAAATGTTTATCACCGTTCCGTGAATCATTGAATCGATCGTTGCAGATCGATTTCTCAGAAGCGTGAAAAATCTTTACCAATCACGAACAATAGCTGTTGTTTTTTATTTTGTCACGTGGCTAAAAAAAACCCTTGAAAATTAAATTGCAAAAATTACCCTAAGATTAAGATAACATATACTAAAATGGGAAAGAGCTAATGATATCTAGCAAAACTAAAATAAATTTCAAATCATCCATGTCACACTATTATTACCATAACTGAAGAGAGTTTGAGGTGATCCATGGTGGCGATCACCCCGTACCAAATAATTAGTATAATCGTTTGTCTCCAACTGTAGTCATTACCCTAAGTCATTTCGGAAGTGAAACCAACGATTTTACATGATATCTTCAATGTTTTATTACAGTTGCATGTCCTTAGACTTTGAGTTGGAGTAAATAACTCTTAACATACCTTGATGATGCTTGATGTTTTTAACTCGAACCCAAATAAAAATAAACCAAATAAAAATAAACCAAATAAAAATAAGCGCTAGTGGCTTCTCAGAAGTATCTCCTCGCGAAAACCAAAACACAACAAGTAGCATTAGATACCGCCAACAGGTTTGCTCTGAGAGACTCGGAGAGATACAAAGTTATATTCCATTCAGGCACACAAGCCTCTAGCTAGCTTCTAAACATTTCTCGACCTTTCTTGTTGTTCTAAATGAGAAGCGCTCGATGGCGAGATGTTAGATGACAAAACCGGAAGTAACGTAGAAATGAAGAAAGTTATTGCGTGACATTTTGAAATTCCGAGAAAGACGAATGAACTTTGTACTAAATGAGACCTTCTCTCCAGCAAATAAAGTTTTGAGGCCAGCGAACGAAGACGCATACAATAAAAGCTCCCTGAAGTAAGAACTGTGGGAGAATGGCGGGCCCAGAAATTTCTATAAAGTTCCATCTTTTTAACTGTGATGACACTTATAAGTTGGACTCAGTAGAAACCCTGTTGCTAAAAATGGCAGACGATCTTAACCTCAAAATATTGGTGGATAAGGGAAACTTTCGCTTACGTGAAATATCGAATGTGTGTGAAAACATCATTCGTCAGCTGCAGATGGATTATGCTGTCCTTGTGGTCCATGCACATGAATCTCGCCTCTCAAGCAACGAAGACAACGCTAGTATTGGCTACGCGAAGGTCTACAGAGCTTTGCTGCGAGCGACTGGTGGGTCCAATGTACACATTAAAATGATTGTCTTAGTATTTGTGTACTGGTAACGTACTTATTAATTTTAGGGGGTAAATTACTTATCTGTTGTTAAAGGTTTACGTGCAAAAGGGATGAAATTCATAAGTCATCGGGCGTAAGGAGGAAGTTTAGATAGCAGTGGCATTAGCGCTTCTTACATAGCCTCATACTCTCGTGCATGTAATCCTGCTGGCTTGGATTTAATTTAAAACAAATTCTTGAAATCCATGTTCTTTCAAACGTGGAGAGACATTTTAAATCCTTGGCCATTACTGATGGTGAATTAACCAGCTTGGAAGTGCTTTGAATTACAACGACTCTAATTTTACACAGCAGTGTACATTTTTTTTTTTTTAGCTTAGGCGAGATGACATATTACTAGATCAAAGTCCATCGTGATGCGTAAGAACATTTGCTCTCTAGAACACCACGGGCCATTAAGACATTGCGAGTCGCTTTTATTTTTTTTTTTTTTCCATGTCGTATGATTCTCGAGAAGAACGTGAGCCATTTTCGTTTTTCCTGTCAGGAATACTTTTCTCTTACCACAATAAAATTAATTAAGCGAGAATAACCACTTTCCGTTGTGACTAGTTATTATTTGAGATTTGGCTCCTTACTATCACGAGTATAATAATTGTTATGACCTCTCCGCTTTTTGCTCTATGCCCCCGGACTTCATACTTTTGAAAGAAAATAAAAGAAATTGTTTAACGTTTAGCGTCCTGATCTGTTATGAAAATTTGTGTTATTAAAAGTACAGCGAATGAGTCCTATCCATGAATCTTAATTATCAAGGAATATACGTCTCTAAAATAATTCAAAATAATCTTCCAAACACAGATTCGTTGAGATTTTTAACACGGACTAAAATTAAAGCGGAAGTGTATGAGCGACGTAATGGTACAGTTGTATCTTCTTGCGAGTTTTTGGTTTGTTAATGGACTTCCATGACAGTTGAAGCTCTCGAAAACAAGAAACTTTCTCCCTGTATTGCACACGTCTACAGACGTCAAAAAATTCCTCGAATAATATAGACACCGAGAATAATAACTTGTAACTTGTCAAACAGGCAGTAAAAGCCTGTCCCTTGTGTTAAGGCGTAATATGTAACAGTGTGTCTTGTACTTGAAGGAGACAAAGGATTGATCGTCATCGGTGGCGACGATAGTTTTAGAGACGATGAAAAAGAACAGTTTGTTATCTCACGCTGGGCACGAAGGAAAGTGGCGTCACAGTTTGATGAGGAGTATCTCGATGGAAGAAAATTAAAAGCTTCATTTTTTCTTGGAATGAAGGGCACAGGGAAATTCATGAGGAGGCATTAGAGCACTACCTCAACCCAAATAAGAAAGGAGAGAAGTTTCAGATTTCAGCTACACTACTAAACAGACACTAATATAGTGAACCATTAGGTTTATTTTGCATGTTTCGGCCGAGCACCAGCGTACAATAATGAAGAAACACATATAGAAAACCGTTGCATTCTCGGTAATCGTTACCAAAGCACACGACAAAAAGACATACCGAGAGCTTAGCAACCACTAGCAAACATCGTGGTTAGAACGGCGGCCAGAAAAAACCTGCCATAAAAAACCCCGTAGGGAAAAAGAGACAGGAAATCTGGGTAGGAACCAGGCCCAAGCTCACGTAACCTTCCTACTAGGCTATATGCATACTTACAAAAAAAATAAATAAATAAACTTAGCAATAGCTGAGAAGGTGTCGGCCTAGAATGATTGCCCACGTGCAATCACAAGCTTTAATACTCGTATCACTATACCCATAATGCATCTATACTCAAGGGCCCAGGCCCTTGTCCTGTTGCTCTCGTGCCGCAGAAATATTTAATTTCCGGCTTATTCGTTGGCACTCAAACGCCAGAAATTCCATATTTCAGCTACACTACTCAACAGACACTAATATAGTGAACCATTAGGTTTATTTTGCATGTTTCGGCCGAGCACCAGCCGGCGTACAATAATGAAGAAACACATAGAAGCCAAAGAAAGGGCTTGAAGAAGTAGACAATTGCCTAGGAGCTAAAAGCCTGAGGATTTAGAGACTGAAATTCTAGATGCAATATCATCTTCAACATAGCCGTCCTTGGCTGAATCACTCTTCCATCGCCCATGCCTCTGAAAAACGCGATCACCCACTCCACTATTGGCAGCCTTGGAAGCCCCACCTGACCTAAACGAGTGGGTGCCATAAACGGAAGGGTCAGTTACTACACTACGTAAACTCTTTGATAAATGATCTCTGAAGGTAGAATAACTAATTGGCTTCTCTTTGTTAACCATCTTATAAGACGACTTGGTCTTGACCAACTGCCTGAAAATTAACTCATCCGAATGAGGATCAGTGTTCAACCTACTCAAATACTGTTGAAGAATGGAAACTGGACAAGCGCTGCCCCCTGAACTCGCGATAACAGCTTCATCTCCTTGCCTAAGCTGATCAGTTTTACTCTTCTCAACCTTAATTATCATGTGGTCTTCAAGAAACTGAATATGATTTCCTCTTATTCTTGTGACTTCCTCCGACCTAAAACATCCTGCATAACAAAGCACATAAAGACATACATTTCTAAGTTGAAGGGTATTGGACAAATCAGAACCATCGATTATATCCTTGAGAATTTCGATGGAAAGAAGTTCTTTTCTATTACCCCTTTTAGTGCCTAAAATTCTCTTGGCGGCATCCCGCACCCTGTTAACTAAAAGGTTATCCGTTGGGGATACAAGACCCGCTGACTCGAGAGCCCACTGGATACTATAAAAAGCAGTATCAACAGAGGCACTCGATCTGGTGGATTCTAAAACATGTTGTAAATAAACAGCAACGTGCATAGGATTAGCAGGGAAATACGATAGCTTCTGCTTGCGCAAGGCGAATTCCTTCCACTTTCTAAAGGCTCTGTCATACATGTTTACCGTCCCAGGAGCCCTCGCTAACAAAATGGTCGTCTGGAGCCTGGAGCTAAGGGACTGTAAATCTGGATCCTTAAACGAAGTATCTTTCCAGAGGCCCTCTTGGAAAATCTCTATACAGAAAAAGAAAACACAAAACAAAGGAGAAATCAGAAGCAACAAGATAACTTTTTGCGAGTATTAAGGTAAATAACGAACCTGAAAATAAAGCTGCTCCCATTTAATAGAATTCCGAGGAACTCCTGCAAATAATAAACAAATAATGGCAAACGTGAATTCAGACCGTGGAGTAGCAAAAGACTCCAACTAACTGTGTACAAAAGACTCCAACTAACTGTGTACAAAAGACGCTAGCTGTTGCGACATGTAGAACAACAGCCACTGTCATGAGTGCAAAATCCTTCTTGATTTCTCCTCTCAGACAACTTGAAACTAATATGCAGTGCGACAACTGCAAAAGACAACTCTTTTGCACCAAACATGTCATTCTTAGCTTTACCTCTCACAAAGAGTTGCTTAAATTTGGGCAGCACAACCCACTCATGAACAAACGAGTTCCAGTGTCTTCCATCATTACACAGTAATATCCAAAAATACGAAGACTTCCACATAGGAATAACAAGTGTACCCTCTGCATTACACAACTTCAAATGATCAACCACTCTCGCAATTTGCGAAATTGGAGGGAGTAACTAATTGTTTTCAAACTCCCAGTCTTGTAAAAAAAACATCCACAGCCTCAGTACCTGGCTGGTAAAATCTGGAATTGAAGCGGGAAAGCTTAGCATTATAACTACATGCGAATCTGTCAATGGTATGCGGTCCCCATCGAACATCCAAAATTTGGAAAACATCATCATTAAATTGTATAATCATCAAAATCAATAATCCCACTTGAATGGTCAGCGAAGGAATTAAAATCCCTGGGAATCCACTTCATCTCGAGTGAAATTCCTTAACTGACGCAAACGTGAAAAATACGAAGCGCTAAACCCTGAAGCTCTGTAACCTTACTGCCAGAATGAACGATGCTAACAACATTCGTGTTATCGGTAAACCATGCAACCTGCTTACCTAAAAGACTAGGAGCAAAACTGATCAAAGCTAACTCTACAGCTTTAAGCTCCCTCCATGTGGAGCTGTTATTGCTTTCAATAGTAGACCAATTTTGTTGAAAAATTTTGCCTTCACTATGAATGAAGGATCCACAAGCGTATTCAGAAGCATTCGAGTAAACTAATTTAGCTGGCTGAGACAAAGCCAGCCAAGGACAAG